ACTGCCACGGCGCTATCCGGACTTCCTGGTGGTGGAAGCGAGGCGAGGGATGAAACGCCAGGTTTCACCTGCTCAGGTGCCTCGTCTCTCCTAGTCATCATCGCCATCTGGGCCTGCTGAAGTTGTTGCATTCCACTCACCAACGTTTCAAGGATTGTGGAGCCACTCTTTTCCTTGCCATCCATAGGTCCAGCAGTCTTCGATCCGGGTGGATGTGAATCTCGAGGGTAAGACTGCCCTGGCACCGAGGGAGGCGGAGAACTGTGACGAGGATGTTGTCCTGGTTCTTGAGGATTGGAGGACCTCGAAGATCACCACCATGAGCTCCAAGGCCTGGTGGTACTGAACCATGTAGAGCCCCCTGTTGCTGGGAACCCCACGGCATAGGAGCCTGCCTTGTTCCTCCTTCCAACTTGTTCGCCAAGGCTTTCACCTGCTCTCTCAGGATTTCCACCTCGGACTTCGTCTCTTCATGCTGAACTCTGTAGTAGTCGGCCAGCTTTCGTTGCGCCTCGATTCTCAACTCTGAGGACTCCGTGGAAGTTTGACCTGTCGATCCTTGGCCCCGACGTTCTCCTGGTCCGTAGAGCAAGGGTGCAGCTTCCTGCGACTGCCTCATCTGATCCAAGGCTGACTGGTCGAACAAGGGCTGCGTGTGTTGTTGCTCAGGAATGTGCCACACAGGAGATGGAATTTCTTCTGGAGGAGAGAAAGGTTGTGGCGGGGACCGTCTTCTCTGCTGCGGTGTGCTGCGGTGACTCTGTTGAGGTGATGCAGCTAAAGACCCCAAAACCCTATCCCCTAACTCCGAAGATCCAAGGGCGGTGTTCATGCGGAGGAACTCAGTGAGACGTGTCATCCAGCGAAAAACACTCGGTCCACCAACTCCAGACTCCACCACTTGGTACTGCATCTCCAGGTCCCTAGCGGCCACGCCAGGTTGGTTCGCAGAAAAATCCTGTCGTTGAGAAATTCCTCCCATTCCGAGCTGTGGTCCATCACCAGCCAACATCATCTCTGCAGGTTGTCTTCCCGGATCCACCACACGCTGTTGTGAGTCATTGATGACGGCCTCCATGGGAACCTCCACCGCATTCATTTGCAGTCCACCACTTCCCACAGCAGTTGCCAAAGGTCCAGCGATCGGAGGCCTGACTTCCAAGGCTCCGGTTCGATTCACCAGATCCAAACCACCATTTCCAGCAGCTGCAGCAGAGACTCCTTCCATACGAACCTCCCTTCCGGAAGTGCCAGCTCCACTTGCCAGGTCCAAACCACGAGGATCCAGCCATTTGGGAACCTTCTCCCGGGACACCAGTTCCATTCGCCAGTTCCAAGCCACCACATCCAGCGGCCATTCCACCAGCTACTGAGCCCTGCCTGCCCACCGCCCCATACGGAGGTCCACAAGCTTCACCTTGAAGCAACGGAGTTGCGCCCACGGGGTTTGGGCTCATAACCTGACGGTCCGAAGATCCGCCAGGCTCCCCTACCCCGATTCCAGTAGCCATTGCTGCGAGCGATGTGACGTGTCTTCCCTTTTCCAACGCACAACCAAGCTGCTGTGAGTGTTGCCTATCGGCATGCTGTGGTTTTGCATGCTCGTGCCCATGCCTGTACTTCGAGCCTCGTGGGCTCCGGCGCCGGAGGTTTTCTCCAATCGGCACACCTTGGCTGCATGGGGCTTCATCATAAACCCTAAACCCTAAACCTAAACCCTAAACCCTAAACCCTAAACCCTAAACTGCCGAGGGGCGCTCGAGGCTTCACCGAAAATTTATGTTTATAATTTCGAGGAATGCCCTGCAGGCGAGATTGTCGGCTACTTAAGTTTTTTGTGATCATGTTAAGTGTGCGTATGTTTTACTGTATAAGGTGATCGACGTTCCATTTCTGTGGTGTGGCCGGATGCTCAAGTTATTTGCAGTATCATCTTATTTGTTATATATATGTATATATATATATATATTTCTCGGGTGTTGCCGTGATGTGCAGCCAGCACCATGTGCTTTCTGGCGGCGAGGCTAGTATAATAGTGGCGCCAGCTGAAGTCCTACGCTGTCGCGCCTGCAGGAGATCCTTTTGTTCGCGGAGACGAACACACTCTGCGCGTTGGGAAATTATCATGTTTCACCGCCGGTTCCACGAAACCGGCGTGCGCGATGGTTGCACACTCGCAACCATCACAATTGTAGACGGATTCTTGACGTGGTAGAATCTTGAAATGAATGCATCATCTTGTCTTTATACAGGAAATATGATCACTAAGAATTTTCTGTATGCCACACGGATTCCAAGCATCTTCCGATCACAACCCAAGCATAAGAAATACTTCTTCTTGCGAATGTCAGGTTAGTTTATGCAAATAATGCTACATGTGCAAAAACTTCATCGTAGATCTTGTCGCACTGCAGACGTTCTCTTTAAGCATAATATGTCAAAGAGTGAGTCTGCTTGGCAAAATGCATGTCGCGTGCCTACAGTGTTTATTTGCATATTTTGATAATGTATTTGTACGAGCAAATATATTTTCTCGTAAACAGTATCAGTCATCCTGGATAGCATAGCCTCTGTTGCTCGAAGCGATTAGTGCACAAAACTTAGAGCAGTAGTAGTCACCCGCTTCCCAGTGTGTCGCGATAATCGTTGTTTGGCTAAACATTACTGATACCTTGCGTTGCAAGCGTTGAGCAGCAATGCTGGCGGGATGAAAATCGGTATGCTTGCCGTAAGCGTTTCTTCGCGCATCGTTGTATCAACTGCCGATACAGTATTTCTTCGGTCATTGACGCATGCAATACGTGTGCGCAAAGGACATACTGTCGTACTTGACGTCATAGCTGCTACTGCTCGAAGCTATAGTGTCCACAAGTAGGCAGTATTTTTCTGTTAGATATGCGGTGCCCAATCTGCCGTGATGAAGTTCCGCGTCAGTCGACATCTTACTCGATATTGTTTTTACAGTTCTCTTTGCAGATCGCTGAGTATTTATGCTGCTACGACAGGTGCGAGTGTACGGGGTGCAGGGTTCGGAGGACTGTCCGGTCCGTATGGAGGCAGGGCACGACGCGAATCAACGCATCATGACCTAACTTTTCATCACGAATGTCTACGGCCAAGAGAAACGTCACGGCGCTTGTCCTATGCGGACATTCGTACTGTGGCGACTGCGTGGCCAACATACAGGCCCTTTTGTTAAATAACTTTTTTGCAATTTGTTTCCAATTCGAGAAGCAGCAGGCTATGTCGCAGGCAGCGATGTTCTTAGTTCAACATTGTTGCGTGCCATTTGGATATTTGTGTCAGACAAGGTCGCTCCATGACTGACGCGCAGAATATCGATGCTTCTGAAGATGCAGCAGATTCACATTGAAAAATTTTCATTCCCGTCCCGGGCACTCTGTCTTTTTTTGCGGCGTTACTGAGGTCAACGTTGGGTTCTGGATCGACAACGAGGCTGGTCGAAGCATACTTTTCAGCTATATATCATACAGCTACCGAGCGTCTCCACGGTGAGGGAGGGTAGAGCCTTTCCGTAGACGGGGCCTGAAATTAGGAGCCCCCCTCGCCCCGTCCTGGCACCCCCCTCTCTGCTCTGGGACGCCCGGACTGCCCTGGACCGTGTGCCTGCCCCCTTTTGAAGGACCCTTCTGACCTACTCGGACCTATCTGGTAAAGCTGGGGCCCGGGCCCCCGCCCCCGCCCGACCCCCCTTTCCTGGAACTCTTCTCTGTTTTCGCACGGGCCGGTCGAGGCCCTTGCTTCCCCCTACCGTTTTGCTGCGAAAATGTGGGGTTTTTAGTGTTGCAATCGACAGTTTTGGCAGCAGGATTACTGTCGCAGCATCTAGTTCATCAGTAGGGTAAAACTAACCTGTCTCACGACGGTCTAAACCCAGCTCACGTTCCCTATTGGCGGCTGAACAATCCGACACTTTGGGACTTCTGCGTCTAAATGATAGGAAGAGCCGACGTCGCTATGAGCGCTTGGCCATGTTTTCACAGTTTGTATTCGTACTGAAAATCAAAATCAAGCAAGCTTTTCCCCTTTTCCACACGAGATTTCTGTTCTCATTGGACACCTGCGTTGCCATTTGTCGGATGTGCCGCCCCAGCCAAACTCCCCGCCTGGCTGTGTCTTCCTCTGTAACAAGCAAGAAAGCCACCCTTGAGCGGGGTTTGGGGGTGAACCCTAAGCCCTAAATGAGAATAGTTTGGGTGGTTGGGTGGGACTACATGCTAACGCAAGCGAGCGGCCCGGGTGCCTTTAGCACCACCGAGCTTCCCTTCTATACACCCTAAACCCTAAACCCTAAACCCTAGACCCTAAACCCTAAAGCCTAAACCCTAAACCCTAAACGGCTAGGCCGCCCCCGCGCTGGATGGTGCTGGCATTTTGGGGGGGGTACCCCAACAAGGTTTGTAGGGGCCAGTAAGACACCCCCGCCGCCCTAGACCCCCTCCTAATCCCCCTCCCTGCACAATGCTGGGCCCCCGACCTCCCTGGCGCCCGCCTTCCTGACTGCTGGATGCCCCCCTTGACCCCAGCTGGCCATTCTTGGCCCCCCCTGTACCTTCTTTGTGCCGGTTGCCCAAATTCTGGCTGGTTGTGGCTTTTATTGTGACCCTGGCGACCACCGTGACGGAATGGTTTTCTGGCAAGTAAGCCGTTGGCTTGAATGTAGGCCTAAACCCTAAAAGCCTAAAAGGAACAGGTTTGCGTGGCTTTGCCGCTTCGGACGGCGCGGGGTGGGCGAAAAATGTTAGATGGCCTTCCCCAATCGGGCCAAAGCTGCTCTTCGCGAAGCTTTCGAGCTTGTTCCAAAACCTAACCTTCACAGCATTTACGCCCTACCACAGCATACCCTAAACCCTAAACTCTAAACCATAAACCCTAAACCCTAAACCCTAAACCCTAAACCCTAAACCCTAAACCCTAAACCCTGAACCCTGAACCCTAAACCCTAAACCCTAAATCCTTCACCCGAAAGCCCTTCAAAGGAAGCTCTGGCCTCGGCAGCCTCCGTTCTCAAAGCCAAGGCCTCTCTCTTTTGCATGCTCCTTCTTTTGCTGCATGCCCGATCTTTTTTCTGGGCTGCGTTCTTGAGGCTTTTTCGGCCAGCTTGCTTTCGTTTTGTTGGGTGGGGGGGGTGGGGGGTATTGAAGGCTTTTGGGAGCTGGGCTTGGCTCTGGCTTAGGAGGGCTCTGGGGAATGCGTCCGGACCTCTCCTTCTTTGTAAGCTGGTTTTGTGCGTTGTCTCTTCATTGGAGTTTTTGGGCAGGTTTGGCTTCGGAGATTTGGAAGCCCTCAACCCTTGAACCGACCCTAAACTCTAAACCCAGAACCCTAAACTTTAAAGCTTAGACCATAATCCCTCAGCAGCCTAGTGGTTGAGCTTGCCCTACGTCACCAAAGCACTTGCTTTTGGAGGTCATTTCGAGCCCGGCAGCGGGGCAGCCTTAGATTTTGTTGACCCTTCTTGTGCCCTTGGGCCCCAGCGTCGTGAGGAGTCAGGGCTTAGGGTTTCGGGTGAGATTCAGTCGGTTGCTGGGCATTGCCGGGTCTTTCAAAAAGGGAGACGGCGCTCTTTGCTTCAGTAGGGAGGTCGCTTCGATCCGCGCACAAGAAGAATCCGATCCTCCGAGGATGACAAAGTGGGCGTTCTCCTTTACGGCGTCCGGGACAAGCAGAACCCCAACAACTTTGATGGCATCCGGCTTCTGCTGGAGCGGGCTGGGTGAGCAAACTCAGATCTGGATGAGGGCAAGGGAGCAGAACGCGGGCTAGGAGAGCGCAGCTGAGTAGGTTCTGGCCTGTGCTACATGAGCTTATGCATTGCCTGGACATAAATCGAGTTGGCCCTTGGTTCGCGAGGACCTTGACAGACCTAGTGCTGCCTGGGCCGCACGTGGTTGTTACGTGGGTCGTATGCATGTTTTGTTTTCTGCGTCAGAAGCCGCAAGACTCTAGAGACTGAAAACCCCGTACCTTCCAAGGCTCAGCGCATCAAGCAACTCCAGCAGGCGCTTGCCAGCTTTTCTTCACTTCCGGGCCATTGGGGCGCTTTGTTGTGGAAGTCAGCCTCGAGTTGAGGGTCGGGGTGTGACAGAAGAGGTGAAACGGGGCACCCAGGTCCCAGCTCTGCCCTCTGTACTCGAGACCCTGAACTCGTTTCCCTCAAAGGAGTCTGAAGGTCTAAACCCTAAACCCTGAACCCTGAACCCTAAACCCTGAACCCTAAACCCTAAACCCTAAACCCTAAATCCTAAACCCTAAACCCTAAACCCTAAACCCTGAACCCTGAACCCTAAACCCTAAACCCCTAAAAACCCCTCAACATCCCTCAGCCTTCGCCCTCCAGGAGTCGAGCCGCACGCCCGCGCAGCTCGCGGAGCGCTACGGCGTGGGCCTCGGCTCCCGGTTCCGGGGAGGGCTCCTTCAGCCTTCAATCATTAGGGAATTTCTCGGTTCTTTAACGTTAAACAAGCCTAAATACATTTAACGTTAAAAAAACCCTAATTGGGGATTTAGGGGGGGTTTCTGAGTTCTAACTAGGCTTCATGTTGCACGTGATGCCACATGTGATCAATGCTGCACTTTGTCCGAACTTCCTGGCCCGCATAGGGGTATGCCTCGACGTGCAGGATTCTTCTAGCGCAAAGGCAAGCAAAATGCGTGCCACCGCTCTTTCAGTTCGCACCGCCTTCGGAGGCGTCGGCCGAGCTGTGCCAGTCTCAGCAATCCGGCGGCAAGTCGGGGCAACAGTGATTCCACATCGTCCGCATAGTCTCGATAGAAGTGCATACCCTAAACCATAGCTTCCCTACACCCTATGCCGCGACATCCTACATCTTAAGCCCTGAGCCTGAAAAGCACCGATGCCGGATTATTGAACACGGCATCTGCTGAAGCACAGAGCGCCTCTGCTGGTGTATAGGGGCTGCTAGGTGCAGAGCTGCTAAGCGACAAAGGTTCAAAGAGTGCTTTCTCCGTCGCGAGTTTGTGTGAGACACTCATGACACTCATGACACTCATGACACTCATGACACTCATGACACTCATGATACTCATGACACTCATGACACTCATGACACTCATGACACTCATGACACACACACACACACGGGGCGAGGTGCTATGGTAAACGAGTGGCTCTGTGTTGCAAGGATGTTTTTTGGACCTCTACCACAATCTTCAACTTGGGTGCCAACCAGCACCTTACCCAGTTTGGGAATGTTGGCGGGATGAAAGGCGCTTCAAGGTTGCATTCAAGTCGCTTGGGAGCGATTCGGGGACATGTACGCAACAGTGGTAGTAGAAGTACTCGTATGATTCAAGCCAGTAGCCCACAGTGCAGGGTTTGCATGGTGTCACGAGACAGTTGTTGAAGAGCCTTAGCAGAAGTAGGAAGAGCTTCGAAGCCACAAGCAGCCTCCTTGGCAGGGCACAGTTCGACTCCCGCATCTTCCTTTTCACCTGCAACGACGCGCCCTCTGCAGCGCCGGAAGAACTTGCTGCAGCACGCACCCGTGTTCAGGTGGCGCTGTCCAAACATGCGTGGGATTTTTGTGCATGGCTTTTCTGGTGTAAACCCTAAACCCTAAACCCTAAGCCCTAAACCCTAAACCCTAAACCCTAAACCCTAAACCCTAAACCCTCTCTTACTATGTATATTTAAACCCTAATGACCTTCGTGGGCATGTGGTTTTTTTTTCTGGGCCCTAAACCCTGACCCCCTTCGTGGGCAAATGGTTTTTTTCCTGGGCCGTGCCTCCAAAAACACCCCAAATGAGGGGGACCCCAGGATCGGCCCGGGCCCCAGTTCAAAATGCGATTTTTTCGTACTGAAATCGACGCTTCTGGGTGGGCTCTCGTTTTCTAGATTTTTGATCAAAACCGAGCCTTTGGGCCCTAAACCCTGACCCCCTTCGTGGGCAAATGGTTTTTTTCCACCCGGGGGGGCCCTAAACCCTGACCCCCTTCGTGGGCAAATGGTTTTTTTCCACCCGGGGGGGGCCCTAAACCCTGACCCCCTTCGTGGGCAAATGGTTTTTTTCCACTCGGGGGGGCCCTAAACCCTGACCCCCTTCGTGGGCAAATGGTTTTTTTCCACCCGGGGGGGGGGCCCTAAACCCTGACCCCCTTCGTGGGCAAATGTTTTTTTTCCACCCGGGGGGGGCCCTAAACCCTGACCCCCTTCGTGGGCAAATGGTTTTTTTCCACCCGGGGGGGCCCTAAACCCTGACCCCCTTCGTGGGCAACTGGTTTTTTTCCACCGGGGGGGGCCTGGGCAAATGGTTTTTTCCAGCCGGGGGGGGGGGCCTAAACCCTGACCCCCTTCGTGGGCAAATGGTTTTTTTCCAGTCGGGGGGGCCCTAAACCCTGACCCCCTTCGTGGGCAAATGGTTTTTTTCCAGCCGGAAGGGCCCTAAACCCTGACCCCCTTCGTGGGCAAATGGTTTTTTTTCCACCCGGGGGGGGGCCTAAACCCCCTTCGTCGGCAAACGGTTTTTTTCCACCCGGGTGCCTCTGGGGCATAGGGTTTAGGGCCCTGAGGGTCCCCTACCCCCCCCCACCCCCCCCACCCCCCCCACCCTCCCCCGCCACAGTAGGTTGAGAGTTAGATTTCGGGTTTTGAGCCAACTGGACCTTAAGCTTTAAGCCTACTGGGAATGTATTGAGTGATTTTTGTATTTTCTCAATGTTATGGGTTTCTTGGGTGGGTGGGGTTTTATTCCAACACTTGACAAGCTGCTTGACTAGTGAATGCTCGGACTTGAGATGCTGAACCCTAAACCCTAAACCCTCTTTCAGGATCTGATGGACATGGGTGTTGTGGTGGAGTTCTTCCCGCTGCAATTCCCTGAGCAGGACTTCAGCATCCCAAGAGACCCGCTTATCCCCCCATTTCCAAGACATTCACCTAAACCCTAAACCCTCAACCCGAAAACCCTCAACCCTAAACCCTAAACCCTAAACCCTAAACCCTAAACCCTACACCCTACACCCTACACCCTAAACGGGCGAGGATTGGCTGTCCTCCTCTCGAGGAATTCAGCATCGAGCGCTTCTGGGGCGGCTTGCTTCCTGTAGACCCCATGGACTACCTGAATCGGGCCGCCGTCCGGCTGGAAGCCACCTGGGCCTGTTAGTTAGAGGAGGCCCGTGGGCTTGTAGCTTGCAGCTTGCAGTAGGGTTTACGGTTTAGGGTTTAGGGTTACCCTTCCGGCTCCCGGCAGTCGTAGAATGGTTTCGTTGTAGTTGTAATGGGCCACCTCCGAGGTAGCTAGCTCTTAGAGTCTCCCCGTCCCCGGTCACGACAGATGTGCGGCCGGGGACACAAGTGAGGCACTGTTTTGCTCTTTGGCGTGCTTCACGGTTGTCCCTCCCCATCCCTTCTTCTACGTGGGCTGAGAGATCTCCTGAGACCTCAAGTGGCCTCAGTACATCGAGCCTGAGCCCGAGCCTCCATCAGAAACCCCCCCACAAGCCGCGCAGACAAAGGACGTCGAGCGAGTGGTGCGGATGCGCACGCACCGGAAGCGAACGCTGCAAAGGCTGGCCTTCCACCTCTGCCCTGGTGCCTTCGCCGCACATCGCGCGACATCGAAAGAGGTGTGTCTGTTTTGTCTTCAGGGATCTGCCGCTTGCCTGAGCTCTGATTCTGATTGCTGCAGGTGTCGAAGCCTCCGTCTCCGTATTTGTCACCATGCTCGAAGCTAAAGTGCCAGCACCGGTCTACTTGCTGAACGACGCTTGGCGGTTCATCTGTGGGGCTGGTCGTGACAGGTTGTGGAAATCTCATCTTTTCTTGCCCATTTGCTCCGTGGCTCTGCGCCTTTGACTTGTCTTTGTCTGAGGAGAACAACAAGCCGCTGAAGGCAGAGTCAAAGCAGATTTGTGAACAGACGGGCGCGCTGCTGCACCCTGTGGATGACATTGCTACCTACGTGGAGGCCGGCGGGGACGGGAACTTTTTTCCCTTGTCGACCTCAGTCTCAGGGCCCTCAGACTCCTAGAAGGCATGCAGCAGCCTGTAAGATGCACCTCAGGTTGCCGGCCATCGGATCTTCGTGACCAGAGCAGAGACACAGGAGCCCAGGGGCCATAAACACCAGCCTCGGCTTGCACTCTCAGAAACCTGGTAGACATGCCGGACGAGCTTCGAAGCAGCAATGCCCTTTCAGGAAAGGGGTGGGGGTTGGCATTGAGGGGAGCATGGGGAGCCTAATGTAAACCTTTAAACCCTTAACACGCAAACACGTAAACCCTTAAAACCCTTGAACCCGTCAACCCTTCAACCCTTGAACCCTTGAACCCTTGAACCCTTAAACCCATCAACCCTTCAACCCTTCAACCCTTCAACCCTTGAACCCTAAAGCCCTAAAGCCCAAAACCCTACATCCCTACATCCCTACATCCCTAAAGCCCTAAAACCATAAGACCCCAAAACCCTTAACCCTACATCCCTAAAGCCCTAAGACCCCAAAGCCCTAATCCCTACATCCCTAAAGCCTTAAAGCCCCTAAAGCCCCCAAAGCCCTGAAGCCCTAAAGCCCTAAAAACCCCTAAAACCCCTAAAGCCTCCAAAGCCCCTATTGCCCCTAAAGCCCCTGAAGCCCCTAAAGCCCTAAAGCCCCTAAAGCCCCTAAAGCCCCTAAAGCCCTAAAGCCCTAAAGCCCTAAAACCCCTAAAACCGTAAAACCCTGCAGCTCTAAAGCCCTAAAGCCCTAAAGCCCTACAGCCCTAGAGCCAAAAACCCTAAACCCTGAACCCTAAGCCCTAAAACCCCCAAAGCCCTCTGAGGGTTGCGCCCGTCAGTGAGGAGGCAAAGCACTTCGGGGATCCTTCCCTGCGGGTGCTCGGCTTCAAGTGGCTCGTCAGGCTTTAGAGGGTTTAGGGTTTAGGGTTTAGGGTTTAGGGTTTAGGGTTGAGGGTTGAGGGTTTAGGAGTTATGGGGTTTAGGTTTTAAGGTCCGTGGCGGGTGCAAAGGGTCCGTGGGGTTTCATGACGGGTCCTGAGGCTTGTGCAGGTTTGTAGGGTTTTTTGAAGGGTTTTGAGGGTTTGAGGACGGTATGCTGTCCTTCGTCCTTCGTGCATGACCGTGGCACATGGGGCAGGAGAGGGCCTTGATATCAGGTGCAAGACTGAGCGTGGCAGTCGCTGAACATCGCAGAAAGTCTGGAATCCGAGGCCCCTCAGCTGCTTGCAGGATCATCACCGCATGTTCCATGCCTACTTCGTCTACCCGAACGAAAAAGGCATCCCAGTCCCAGAAAAGGGGAGTTCGGGGCCTTGCGCAGACGGCATCGTCCCAGTGAACACAGAGGTTGCCGACGTGTGGTCCACGTCTTGCCGTAAGACTCTAGACCCCTAAGCCCTAAAACCCTCTCCCGTGCATAGGGTACATGTACCAGGACAAGTTCTGTGAGGGTACGTGTACCACGACAAAGTCCTGTCCGACCCGTGTGCGCATGTGTGCGCGAAGCTCTTGCTGGCCTGGCAGGCTTCACGGGCTCAGCAGCGCTGCTGTCCTCTTTGGTAGGCACCTGGAGGGGGCAGTCTGGAGTAGTGGTAGCTTATGGCTTGCTTATCGTGTTTCGAGGTTTAGGACTATGAGGACTTGAGAGAGTTGATTGCACAGACGCTTTGGGAGCCTGTTGACATGCTTGTTTGAGCTGGGCTGGTCGCGTGACCTTAGAATTTATTGCCCTCACCCTCTTTGTCACCGCAGCTAAGGGAGTTGCCAAACCCTAAATCTCCGATCCAAAGCCCCAACATTCCTAAGGCGTGATGCTGGAGCGCAAGGTTCTGGCAGTGGCAAGCTACGTGGCGCGGCGCAACAGCGAGCCGGTTCTGGTTGCTCTCCTACCCCAGGCCTCCTGGTTCAGGGTATTGGGTTGAATGTTAAGGGTTCGGGTGTAGTGTGCAGGTATACGCCTGAGACCTTCAACGAGTCACTAAGAACCCCGCAACCCCTGAACCCCCCAAAACTTCCCAAGTACTTAAAGCCCTTCCTGAAGCCTCTCAAGCCCTAAAGCCCTGAAGCCTTCTTGGGGTTTAGAGCCCCTCAAACCCTCTAAAAACATTGGACAGGCAGAGGTGGAAGAGGAGGGCGACCAGAGGCAGCCGCCTGGATTCCACATGGTGCGGTTGCCCTGGGCCGAGGACCATGGAACAAAGCGGCAGGTGAAGGTAAAGTGTTGGGTTTATTTTATGGGGCTGTGGCTGAGGGACATTCGAGGGGCTGGGGGGTGTGGCTGCTGAAGCTTCAGGCTTGCTTTTTTGGATGACGTTGGTGAGGTTTTGAGGACTGAAGCCTTGAAGCCCTACATGATTCTGGGGTGCGGTGCTGGTGCCCCTTCGGGACTCCAGGCTGTGTATAGGGTTCCCAAAACTTTAGGGTTTCGGGTTTAGGGTTTGGGGTTTGGGGCAGTGAAGCCCAATGAAGCAACTGCCTTGTGTTGAAAAATTGTCGGCAATGGGCTGTGCTGAAGTCAGTTTCTGACTCCCAAGACCTTTGAACTTCGGAAGCACCTGAGTTTCCTGTGTGCCTGATGCCAAGTCACAGCTCCGAGCGCAGGAGATACGCCAGCTGAGCACCTTGGCTCCAAGCAGTGGGCTCTGCTAGGGAGGAGTCCTCAACCCTCTCCGACAAAAAATTTCCCCACCTCTCCGGGCCACAGCATCCCAAAACAGCTCTCCGAGTCTCCGAGTTCCACCCCATACACCATCTCGAAGGCTTCCCGCTGGCGGAAGGCTTTCCAGCCGAGATGCCGGACAATCTCAAGGCTTGGCCTAGGATGGCATGCTGATGAGTCTGGCGGGGTAGTTGTTGCCTTCTAATCGTCGAGGCAAAGGAAGGATCCTGACTATAACGCAAGCAAGCGCAGTCGCAGGAGGGTTCCCGAGGGGTTCAGAAGGGCCCACAAGGGTCTCTACGGAGACGGATCTTCAACCCTAAACAGCGATAGAAAACACTCAGCATGTCAATTCCTCAACGTATGTGAAGGTGAGCCCTGCAGACCTAAAGCCCCTGAATCCCCAAGCCATCCCAAGCCCCTTTGTGCCTTGCAACCTAAAGTCCTAAAACTATGAACCCTGCGACCCCCTAAGCCCGGGCGCCAGGAGCGAGCCAAAGAGGTTGTTCGGTCCCTGCAACTTCCTGACTTTGCCCCAGGCTCTGCGGAGAACCCGGCCTTGTGGCAGTCGTTTAGTCTTTGAGGGGGTTTTGAAGGGAGGGGTTTAAGGCTTTTTCCCCAAACAGAATCGTTTGGGGTTCTCTCCTCAGAAAAAAGGTGGGCCGCGGTGGCTGGATGGGTGGGCCGCGGCAACGGGGTTGGGCTCCCATTGGGCTCCCTTCATGTTTCCTTTCTGGGCTCCTGGGTCGGATGGGTGGGCCGCGGCAACGGGGGCTTTCATTGGGCTCCCTTCATGTTTCCTTTCTGGGCCCCTGGGTCGGATGGGTGGGCCGCGGCAACGGGGCTGGGCTTTCATTGGGCTCCCTTCATGTTTCCTTTCTGGGCCCCTGGGTCGGATGGGTGGGCCGCGGCAATGGGGCTGGGCTCCCATTGGGCTCCCTTCATGTTTCCTTTCTGGGCTCCTGGGTCGGATGGGCAACGAGTTTGGGATTTCATTGGGGCTCCCTTCATGTTTCCTTTCTGGTGTGGGCCGCAGCAACGGGTCGGCTGGGTGAGACTAGGCTCCCATTGGGCTCCCTTCATGTTTCCTTTCTGCCTCCTGTTTGGCTTCCTGGGTCCGATGGGTGGGCCGCGGCAACGGGGCTGGGCTCCCCTTCATGTTTCCTTTCTGGGCTTTGATGGATGGGCAACGGGGCTGGGCTCCCATTGGGCTCCCTTCATGTTTCCTTTCTGGGCTTCTGGGTCGGATTGGTGGGCCGCGGCAACGGGGTTGGGCTCCCATTAACTCCCTTCATGTTTTCTTTCTGGGCTCCTGCGTCGGATGGGTGGGCCGCGGCAACGGGGCTGGGCTCCCATTGGGCTCCCTTCATGTTTCCTTTGGGTGGGCCTCGGCAACGGGGCTGGGCTCCCATTGTCATGTTTCCTTTCTCTGCTGGGTCAGATGGGTGGGCCGCGGCAACGGGGCTGGGCTCCTACTTTCATCTTTCCTTTTCTGAACTCCTGGGTCGGATGGATGGGTGCGCCGCGGCAACGGGGCTGGGCTCCCATTGGACTCCCTTTTCCTGTTTCCTTTCTGGGCTCCTGAATCGGATGGGTGGGCTGCGGCAACGGGGCTGCGCCCCCTTTGGGCTCCCTTCATGTTTCCTTTCTGGGCTGCTGGGTCGGATGGGTGGGCCCCGGCAGCGGGGCTGAGCTCCAGCTCCCTTCATGATTCCTTTCTGACCTCCTGGTTCGGATGGGTGGGCCCGCTCCCTTCCTGTTTCCTTTCTGGGCTTTGGGGCGGAGGTCGCGGCAACGGGTCCCTTCATGTTTCCTTTCTGGGCTCCTGGGTCGGATGGGTGGGCCGCGGCAACGGGGCTAGGCTCCCATTTTGGGCTGCCTTCATTTTTCCTTTCTGGGCTCCTGGGTCGGATGGGGCCGCGGTGCGCTTTCTGCTTGTGGATTTCACAGACCAGGCCTATCAGATCTGGTGCCCGGAGGTTCCTGCAAGCAAGTCAATGGTCAGTCAAAAAAATCGGGCAACTCTCCCACCTTTTCAACAGAAGAACCTTGCGGCGCTGGTGCCTGTATATGTGAAGCATCTCTTCGTACGTCGTGTAAGTTATACCTGCAAACAATTCTGGATTGTTTACCCAGAGCTCAAGTCAAGGTCTACAGCAAGGCCATCCCATCAGGACGCGTGTGGAGTTGGCCCACAGCTTGCATTCGCTCACCAGCATTTCGCTTCGACTGTCTCAGCGAATGTGACACTTTTCGCCTCAGAAAAAACCTCATGTGGCTGCAGCATGGTGACCGTCTCGTAATAGGTGGTTGGGGGGGGAGGTCACGTGGATTCCCACCTATTTTTCCTGGAGCCCGCCACCTATTCTACCACCGTGGGGGGGGGTGGGGGGAAATAGGTGGCACGTATCATTTGGTTCTATGAAGTACTCCTACTACTACTACTACTACTACTACTACTACTACTACTACTACTACTACTACTACTACTACTACTACTACTACTACTACTACTACTACTACTACTACTTCTACTTCTACTTCTACTTATACTTCTACTTCTACTTCTGCTACTTCTGCTAGGTGGGATTATTGTGAGAGTATAGAGAGGCTACTAGGAGGGAATGGTAGGGAACCTGACAGAAATAGGTGGCAAGGCAGGGCGGGTTGTGGGGGATAGTGTAGCAGGGCACATACGAACCGCGGGGTGCCTCCATTTCCTTCTACTCATTTAGGTGGGGGGATACTGTCGGAGTATATAGCGGGGGGCTACTACTAGGGAACCCACCCTATTTCTGTGTAGGTTCGCTTACGAGCAGCTTTTCTGTATGCTCCCGCAATATCCAAGCCTGAATGGGTAGAGGGAAAGGGGGTCACCCCACGGTTCGTATGTGCCCTGCTCTACTATTCCCACAACCCGCCCCTGCCTTGCCACCTATTTCTGCGTAGGTTCCCCACATTCCCTACTAGTGAGCAAAAGATTCTCAGCAAACGCTGTGTTGGCACTGTGGTTACCTCCCCCCCCCCCCCCCCCCCCCAGATCCAGAAATAGGTGGCCCACCTTTTCGAACCCCTCCCCCCCCCCCCCCCCCCCTTCTGCGAGCGGGTCATCATGCTGCAGCGCAGCAGTGTGGCAACAATCCTGACAATCCTGCAATTGAAGGTAGGACAGTGTGCCAAACTTTGTGTTTTTGTACCCAAGAGCTTTGAGAGCTTTGAAGCCAGCAGAACTGGACTAACCCATTCAGGCTCTAAGCGAAGCGCGAAGATAAACAAAAATCAGCCTGCAGGCATCAGGCCAAGCGTGAAGCCACAGAGCTTCAATCAGGCTTCAGCTGTTGTAACAGTTGCAGGAAAATGTGTGTGTGTGTGTGTGTGTGTGTGTGTGTGTGTGTGTGTGTGTGTGTGTGTGTGTGTGTGTGTGTGTGTGTGTGTGTGTGTGTGTGTGTGTGGTTGTGTGTGTGTGTGTGTGTGTGTGTGTGTGTGTGTGTGTGTGTGTGTGTGTGTGTGTGTGTGTGTGTGTGTGTGTGTGTGTGTGTGTGTGTGTGTGTGTGTGTGTGTGTGTGTGTGTGTGTGTGTGTGTGTGTGTGTGTGTGTTTTTTCCGCGTGCGGTGTGTAAAGAAGGCTTTTTGATATCCTTTGTAAAAGCTCATTTGTGCTTTTTTCCACAAACGTATGCAGCTAGGTATCCTTTCTCGCAATGCGGCGGGTGAAATGTGCATTTTTCCCGCACGTGGTGTGTGTGTGTGTGTGTGTGTGTGCGGCAGCAAGATCCTCGTGTGCAAGAGGCCCTGCGTTCGGCCTGCGGAAAAATCGTCAACGGTTCCGTGTAAAGAAGGCTTTCTGTTTCCTTTGTAAACGCTCATTTGTGCTTTTTCCACAAACGTACGCAGCTAGGTATCCTGTCTCGCAACGCGGCAGTGTTGTAACAGTTGCGGGAGGAATGTGCATTTTTCCCGCGCGTGGTGTGTGCGGCAGCAAGATCCTGTGCAAGAGGCCCTGCGTTCGGTCTGCGGAAAAAAATCGTCAACGGTTCCGTGTAAAGAAGGCTTTTTGTTTCTTTTGTAACAGCTCATTTGTGCTTTTTCCACAAACGTATGCAGCTAGGTATCCTGGCAGTGTTGTAACAGTCGCGGGAGAAATGTGCATTTTTCCCCGGCGTGGTGTGTGCGGCAGCAAGATCCTGTGCAAGAGGCCCTGCGTTCGGTCTGCGGAAAAAATCGTCAACGGTTCCGTGTAAAGAAGGCCTTTTGTTTGCTTTGTAAAAGCTCATTTCTGTTTTTCCACAAACGTATGCAGCTAGGTATCCTGTCTCGCAATGCGGCAGTGTTGTAACAGTTGCGGGAGAAATGTGCATTTTTCCCGCGCGTGGTGTGTGCGGCAGCAAGATCCTGTGCAAGAGGCCCTGCGTTCGGTCTGCGGAGAAAATCGTCAACGGTTCCGTGTAAAGAAGGGTTTCTATTTCCTTTGTAAACGCTCATTTGTGCTTTTTTCCACAAACGTATGCAGCTAGGTATCCTGTCTCGCAACGCGGCAGTGTTGTAACAGTTGCGGGAGAAATGTGCATTTTTCCCGCGCGTGGTGTGTGCGGCAGCAAGATCCTGTGCAAGAGGCCCTGCGTTCGGTCTGCGGAAAAACTCGTCAACGGTTCCGTGTAAAGAAGGCTTTTTGTTTCTTTTGTAAAAACTCATTTGTGCTTTTTCCACACACGTATCCAGCCAGGTATCCTGTCCCGCAATGCGGCAGTGTTGTAACAGTTGCGGGAGAAATGTGCATTTTTTCCGCGCGTGGTGTGTGCGGCAGAAGGATCCTGTGCAAGAGGCCGTGCGTTAGGTCTGCGGATAAAATCGCCAAAAGTTCCGTTGTGGCAGCAAGATCTTGTGCAGCAGGCCCTTCGTTTCGTCTGCGGAAAAAATCGCCAACGGTGCCGTGTAAAGAAGACTTTTTGATTGGTTTGTAAAAGCTCACTTGTACTTTTTCCACAAACATATGCAGCCAGGTATCCTGTCTCGCACTGCGGCAATGTTGTAACAGTTGCGACCGTTGCGGGAGACATGTGATTTTTTCCGCGCGTGGTGGCAGCAAGATCCTGTGCAGGAGGCCCTTCCTTCGTTCGGTCTGCGGATAAAATCGCCAACGGTTCCGTTGCAGCAGCAAGATCTTGTGCAGCAGACCAGCAGGCCCTTCGTTTCGTCTGCGGGAAAAATCGCCAAGGGTTCCGTGTAAAGAAGGCTGTTTGCTTGCTTTGTAAAAGCTCATATGTGCTTTTACCGCAGACGTATGCAGCCAGGTATCCTGTCTCGCAACACGGCAACGTTTTAACAGTTGCGGGAGAAACGTGCTTTTTTTCCCGTCGTGTGTGCGGCAGCAAGGTCCGGAGGCCCTTCGTTTTGTTTGCGGGAATAATGGCCAACGTTTCCGTGTAACAGAGGCTTTTTGTTTGGTTTGTAAAAGCTCATTTGTGGTTTTTCCACAAACGTATCCAGCCAGGGATCCTGTCTCGCAATGCGGCAATGTTGTAGCAGTTGCGGGAAAAATGTGCATTCTTTGCGTGCATTCTTGCTGCTGCAACAAGATCCTGTGCAGGAGTTTCTTCACTCGGTCTTCGGAACAATCGTCAATGCTTCCGTGTACAGAGAGCTTGTTGTTTGCCTTCTAAGCCGACAAATCCCTGCCTGCTTCTTTTGCCAAATATTCGCGGCAAAGTTCCCACTTTTTCCCGTGCGACAGCCAGCCGAACCGAATACTAAGCCACTAAGCTCATTTGCGTTTGTCCACAAGAGTCTGAAGCAAAGGCCAGGTATCCTGTCTCGCAATGCGGCAATGTTGTAGCAGTTGCGGGAAAAATGTACATTGTTTCCGTGCGTGGTTTGTGCAGCAGCAAGATCCTGTGCAGGAGGAGGCCCTTCGTTCGGTTTGCGACAAAATCGTCAACAGTTCCATGTGCACAGAGAGCTTGTTTTTTTGCCTTGAAAGCAGACAAATCCCTTCCTGCTTTTTTGGCCAAGTAGTCGCGGCAAAGTTCACTTTTTCCCGCGCGACAGCCAACCGAACCGAATACCAAGCTCATTTGCGGTTTTTCCACAAACCACAAACGTCTGAAGCAAAGGCCAGGTATCCTGTCTTGCAATGCGGCAATGTTGTAACAATTGCGGGAACAGTATGCGTTTTTCCCATGCGTGGTTTGTGCGGCAGCAAGATCCTATGCAGGAGGCCCTTCGTTCGGTCTGCCGAAAAAATCGTCAGCGGTTCCGTGTAAAGAGGGCTTTTTGTTTGCTTTGTAAGCCGACAAATCCCTTCCTGCTTCTTTACATTCTTCTTTCGCAGAAAATCTTTGCCGAATGCTTACACATTTTTCGCAGCATCTGCTGGCGAAGCCAGATTGGGTTCCAACGCATTCCATCTTGAACCCGTGTGATTCGATGCATTCTGTTTGGGGTCTTCGCTGGTGTAATCTAGGGTTCAGGGGTTCTAGGGTTCATGTTTTGTAACTTGCCAGGTTCCCGGTCGAGGTTGGTGATGTTGAATGCTTTTGAGGGTGCACCTCAGACGGGGTTTATTGCTCGAAGAGGTGGGGCTCTTGTTGGTTGAGCCCAGACTTTCCCCGGGATCCCCCTTCATTGAGGAGCCTCAGGCCAGCGAGAAAGAGCCCTCTCTGTTCAGATTAGGCTTTCGGGATACGTAGCTCCTCCTGCTGAAGTCTACGTCCTCCTCTCCTCAGACCGTGGGTGACGCTCGAAGAGATGCTTCTCAGGTTCTCCAGAAGCATTACGCAGCCGTGCAGGCAAGGTCGAGCCAAACCTCATTCAGTCCAGCTCAGAAGACCTTCAACAGCCCCACAGGCTAACATCTCGACCGAAATCCTAAACCATAAGTGATGGTGAGGTTTCGGAGTCTGTGATTCTGTGAGGAGTTTTGTCATGTTTCTCATGCCTGTTGATGAGATCCATTTTACGCACCGGAGAAGGCCTTTTATCATGAAGACCACATGGTCGTAGTTGCTAAAGCCAGTCTTGAAGAGGCAATGATCATTGCAGTCTCCTTTTCGAATGGCGGGCTTGAGGAATGGAGTTCTGGATTTCTAGGAGCCCCAAAAGCTGCCTTTCGGCGCCCAAGTGGCGCCCTGGCCACAGGCACTGGCCCTTTCGGAAGAGCAGCCGCTTCGCAGCACATCATCGTGCGGTTCATTGCTCAGCTGGAGAAGCAGAGTCCCTGAACCCGGATACCCAAACCTGCCGCAACCCCTAAACCTTGAGATGTTCCCCCTAATTCTAACAGTCCTTAGTAGGGACTCTTATAGGGGGTACAAAAACCCCCCAATTAATGACTGTTAGAAGAAGGGGAAACATTGTAAACCCCTAAAGAGGAGGCTGGGGGCTCCTGTCGCAGAGCTTGGCTCAGGCCTGAGGAGACCGTAGATGTCCTTCAGCCCGACGCAGCTCACCTGGACACCAAGAAGCCCCTCTTCCTGGCCTGGAAGGAGGCGTGGTTCAACGTTGTAAAGGAGATTATCGGCCGTCTAGAAGCTCCTGCAAGATTTCGGCGCCGCAAAAGCGACTACTGACTGCCACGTTCGAAATCCTGTAGGAAAGAAGCCCGACGTGCAGACCCTGTTAGTGGGAACAGGTTAGGTTCTCTGCGAAATAGAACCCGCCCTAACATAAGCCACTTCACAGCAGTGCCCTGTTGGAGGAGTAGCGGGGCGGTTGTTGATGCTGCGAACGCGAGCTCAGCTCACTCAGACCAACAGCCATGAAGCTCAGCAACGCCCCCAAAGCCCTCGCGGACGAAGGCCCTGGACGCTGTAACGCCTTTCCGCGGCAAGCGCGCGGCGGGAGATGGTGAGGCTCGGGGAGGGCGAGCCGGGATCTCAAGGTGGACGGGTTTGGTTTTTGTTTCAATCTGCGTCGGGATAGTTGTAGGGATAGGCTTGTCGGCTTGTCTCCCGACTTCCTTACTACTCTTCAGCATGTGTGACTACTGTACGGAAATCCCGGCATCTGAGCGTGAGCTCGGCGCCAGCCCTGTGTGCCGGTGTGCGCTTGGGTGGTGCAGACCATCGAAGACAACGTGGCGCTGGGGACAGGGGCCAGGTGAAAGGTGTGGGTCTGCCAAGAGTGGTCGGGTCGGAGCTGGACTTGAAATTCGCCCTTGTATCCCTTGTTGAAGACGCGGCATTGATCAGCCGGCTCCCGAAGCTTAAGATCAAGTGGGTGACATCTCCGAGAGAACCTGCCCCGGCTTCAGTGTCATGGGTGGGCAGAGGACCTCTGAAGCTTTGCTCTGTTCAAGTCATGAACCAAGCGCCTTCTGAAGCTAAAGCTTGTCTGGGCATGGCTTGCCAGTCGGTTAGCCTGCCGCCTCGATGCGGTGTCTGTTGTTGGGGCACGGAAACATGTACGGGGCCGCTGCAGCCGCACAACCGCTCTCGCGTGAAGCTTCAGTGCCACTGAAAAGGCACTTACTTTGAGCACCAGCAGCAGCAACAGTTGGCTTGCAAGACGTAGAAGGCGGCCAAGGGGTCGCGGTGGTACCCGTCCAGCTTTGCATGACAAACACAAAGTGGACGAGAGAAGGCTGTCACGTGACGGGTCGCGTTGCGCGAACTCGTGCACAGTGGCGTCGTGCCAAACATCAGAAAGCAGTAAAATCTTTCTCGGCATCTGCCGCATCAGGTTCCAGACGTTGTGCCACGGTGTCCATTGCCTTGAACAGAGCATCCACACAGTCTCAATTCACCAAGTGTTCGGGTAGGCGTGTTCGGTTTCGGCAATATGATTCGGGATTTCGAGCTGTATTCTTTCATTTCTTTCATCCTTGAGAAGGGGCTTGGTGTGAGGGCTTGAGGTTTAGGCCGGATTGCAACAGGCCCCATCTTGAACCACACACGAGGCTCCCAGAGCTTGATCTATACCCTGCATTTTTGATCCTTGGTCCGCCCAGTCTTGTAAGGTTCCGAACCCTAAAAGTTTTCAAACTCCTGAAGCCTGAACCCAGAACTTCTAAGAAAATAGCCTTAAGCCCTAAACCCTAAACCCTAACATCTAAACTGGCAGGGCGCTGCCAAGCGGCCCCGCCGCGAGGCGCCCGCAGCCCCCGCGGATCTGGAGGCACGGGACCTGATAGTTTCGCGTGGTTGAAATCCATCATGGGGGGCTTGTTTGCAGTGTTTCGCCGATGCAAGAAACGTTCGAAGACTCTAACGAGTAAGGCTCCTAGATGGAGGGTGTGCAGCAGGGCATGTGGATGCATGAAGCCGGAACCGAACTTGCGCCTTCTTTGGCTGCTCAGCAGTTGTGATGTCATGATCCCCATATGTAGCCGTCATCAGCCGGCGCATGTGCTTCCAACATTCTCCAAACCCCACCTGAATCCGACTCCCTGCTCGCAATGTCCCGGCGCTCCAACTCCGGTGTCCTGCCCCTGGTGGTGGCCGTCCTTTTCGGCGTGTATGCCCTGAGTTTTGTGGGCCCCTCGCAGCAGGGGCGCAGGGGCACCGCCCTACGTGCAGGCGGCGAGAGCGTCCCCACGGGTCTGGTGTGGCCTTCGCCCGAGGCAGAGGAGAAGTTGCGTGAGGTGGATGGCATCAAGCTCTACCCCACCCATGCCTGGAAGGATGACATGGATCCCATCGTGGATGCCTCAAAGAAGCTTGAGGACACCCCGGTGATTGTCGGCGTGGCGGCAGATTCGGGGTGTGGCAAGTCCACCTTCCTCCGGCGCATCCTGGGAGCCCTCGGCACGGAGGTGAAGCCCGGGCACACGGCCATCGGGGACATGATGACGGTGATCTGCCTGGACGACTACCACACCAACGACCGTGCCGGGCGGAAGGCCACTGGCCTCACCGCCCTGGATGCACGAGAGAATGACTTTGACCTTATGGGTGTGCAGATCGAGGCCCTGAAGGAGGGCAAGGCCGTCTACAAGCCCATCTACAACCATGACACTGGCAACAAGGATCCCCCTGAGCTTATCGAGCCAAACAAGGTCATGGTCTTCGAGGGCCTGCACCCCATCTACGACGAGAAGGCGCGCTCGCAGCTGGACCTGGCGATCTACATCGACATCGTCAATGACGTCAAGTTCGCCTGGAAGGTGCAGCGTGACGTGGCCGAGCGTGGCTGGACGGAGGAGCAGGCCGGGTTGCCCATTGCCCTGTGGCCTGTGGCCTCCCGCCGCATGCCGCCGCATCAGTTTGACATGCTGTTGACATGTTAGCCGCAGTATCGCGTGCTCTTCTCCAAGCCCTACCCCTGAAATCAGTCTCGAAAGTGCCTCTGAACTTGGAATGCAAAGACAGGTCAAGGAGGACATCGAGAAGCGCCTTCCCGACTTCTCCAAGTATGTGGACCCCCAGAAGGCCAACGCCGACGTGGTGCTGCGCTATGAGCCCTCGGACAAGGGCCTGCCTTTCCTCAAGGCACCGTCTCGTGGGGTTGCGGCTTGAAAGCCCTGGGGGGCTGGGCCGACTGTGATGCCACTGTTAGATGCCACTGTTATGGCAAACTAGCAGTCTCTAGGCTAAGGTACTGGAGATGGGTTCAAGAACCTCAGCTCCCCGAGAACCCGAGCTCAATAAACCTTGGCAGGTCAAGCTCATCCAGAAGAAGGGCGGCAAGTTCCCCATGGTCACCTTGAAGAAGGTCGATCAGGGTCCAAGGGTAGCCGGGAAGCCTAGGTTGCTCCGCACCCTCAATCACGAGCTCTATAGGGACCTTCAGCAGCATCCCAAGCCTCCCCAAGCCCCGAAACCCTAACCCCTGCACCCCCAAAGCGCGAAGCCGCCGAGCCTTGAGCTCTAAAGCCCCCTCGGTATCGTGAGCCCCGGGCTTTTGCCCAGCAGCCTACACACTAAACCCTAAACCCTAAACCCCTAAACCCCAAACCCCAAACCCAAAACCCTAAACCCTAAACCCCCCTTCAGACGGGTCTTGTCCAGGACCTCAGCCTCTCCGGGAGTGAGCCTGGTGCCACCTTGAAGGCTCGCCCCAACTGTGTGGGGGTAAGTCGTGGTGGACCTATGGGGAGGTAGGGTTTAGGGTTTGGGTTTGGGGTTTGGGGTTTGGGGTTTGGGGTTTGGGGTTTGGGGTTTGGCGTTTGGGGTTTAGGGTTTAGGGGTTAGGATGGGCCTATGGGCAGTAGGGTTTATATGGGGGTTTCCGAAAATAAGGGAACCCGAAAAAGTAGACCCCCCAAATAGTAAGATTCCCTGATAACACGGACCCCAACAAGGTACCCCCCCCAATCTCGGAAACACCCATTTTCCTTGTATCCCCATTAAGAAGGAACGTTGTATACACCCACCAAAAAGCCTACTTCATAAGGGGAAGTTCTCCAAGTTACAGTCCCTGTTTTGGGGTCCTTCTTGTATGGCGGCCCCTCTGATTTGGGGTGCCCAAGAAGCGACCATGATGAGGGAACTGACCATCTGGGAAGTTGGGCAAGTTGAGGGAAGTCCCGGAAGCTCCCAGGATGTTGGCTTCAAAGCATTCCGTTGGAGCGTGAAGGAAACTTCAAGCCCCAAACCCTAAACCCTAGACCCAAAACCTTAATAGCCCTAAACCCTAAACCCTAAACCCTAAACCCTAAACCCTAAACCCTAAACCCTAAATCCCAACATGAGTGAAGGGCCACGGTGCGGTGGTGCCCGCCCACTATGAGCTCCAGCCTTGCAAGCCTTCTTACCTCATGTTAGGGTTTTAGGGGTTGTGGGGGTTTAGTAGGGGTTTAGTGGGGGTTTGGGGGTTTAGGGGTTTGGGGGTTTAGGGGCTTTAGGGGTTTAGGGGTTTAGGGGTGTAGCAGGGGTTGTAGGGGTTTAGGAGTTGTGGGGGTTTGGGGGTTTAGGGGTTGTAGGGGTTGTAGGGGTTTAGGGGTTTCATGGGTTTAGGGGTTGTGGGGGTTTGGGGGCTTTAGGGGTTTAGGGTAGATCATTTAGTGATCACAACCCACAAAGGCCCTCGCCTGTTATGTACTACACAGACCTTCTTCCCAACCCTCAGATGTACGATGACGACTGGTTTGGCAACGATGTGACCGTAGTGGAGATGGACGGGGAGATCGACATGGACAGCATGGAGGAGATTCTGGGGAAGGGTCCTCCCTCCTCTAGTATGACCGAATATCATGAGAAGCCCAATGCCCTACGGGCAAGATGCCCATGCGATCTCCCTTCTGGGTGTTTTCATATAAAAGAGGGAAGGGAGAAGGTGTGGTTTTCGGGCGCTTGCTTGAAAGGTTCACGAGGTAGAAGTGGGGTCTATAGGGTCCAGAGTCCACAGATTTTAGAAGCTGGAGGCTACTGGGTTGCCCACGACCAGTTTGAGTTTACCTTCGGAGTAGTGCTTGAGATGTGGGCTTGAGAACCTGGCAGAAGCCCTGGGACGCATCTAAGTCAGTCAAGAGAGGTGTGGGGTGTGGGCATTCGGTGATGTATTCTAGCAGTGTCGACCGGCTTCAAGTGAGAGGTTTGTTTTGTCGCTGCCGCTATAAGAAACCCTAAACCCTAAGCCCTAGACCCTAGACCCTAAACCCTAGACCCTAAACCCTAAACCCTAAACCCTAGACCCCTCAGCCCAAGGCAGCCTTCGCAAGCCAGGAGCAACTCAAGGAGATCGAAGAGAACTTGGAGGGCTTGGGTGCCAAGAAGGCAAAGGAGCTGACTGAGGCCAGGTCTACTGTTTGGTTTAGGGTTCAAACCCTAAACCCGAAGCCCTAAACCCCACTTCACCGCGTTGTGTTGTAGGGTGCTGGGAGTTTGCTCAGGGTTTGCTTGTGGGGTTGTGTTGGGGGGGGAGGGGGGGGTGTAGGTAAGGGTTTGAGGGCCCGGGCCCTCAACCCTAAACCCTAAACCCTAAACCCTAAACCCGAAACCCTCAACCCTCAACCCTCAACCAACCTCGAGAGGCCATGGTGTCCTTGAAGTCGTCCCCGGGCTCTCAGAACGGAACCGGCCTCCTCCAGACCGTCATCGCCATGAAGGCGCTCTCGCCACCTAAGCCTGTCAGATGTATGGTGGCTTTATCTTCAAATCTGCCGAGTTCAGAGTGGTGGGTGTAGGATCTTGGGATGTTCTGGGTTTAGCTACTGTCTTGTTTTTGCTGCTCATATCAGGTCCGGGAGATCTACGAGAAGCTCACGGGCAAGGAGGCGTAAAGCGAAGAAGGAATAAGGGGCCACGCAAACGGAAGTCAATCCCCCAATTTATGCCATTTTGAACCCTGTGACGCCCTTCACACCCCCGAGCCCTCAGTTTCGAAACGCCTGAAGCCCCCAAAAAACCCAAAGTGTTTTTCACTTCCAGTGGAAGTCCCGTGTATAGCGGAGGGCAGCTGCCCCCACCTGCGGAGCTGTGTGGCTGGGCGCAAGCTGGGAGCAGCACCGAAGTTTTGGGTTCAAAGGCCTAGGAAGCAGCTGGGTTTCACAGGAGGTAGTGGAGTTAAAGGTGTTTTCTGTATCTGGGCTAGGACGGAGGTTCGTTGGTGCTCCACCGCGGCGCAGTTTCTCCAAGGCACGTCTAGATGCCAGATTTTAACCAAGTGGTGTTCTCCTCATGCGAAAGAAAGGACGGAAAAAGGCAGGCGTTGGGGGCGCACGACGGGGTATTGTGGTCATGAGTTTTTTTCTTGTGTTCTTCGACTGCCAGGCGATGCGAGCTTTGGTGACGTCTGGTGCCACACTTAGCAGAGCATCTTTGACTGACGGCGACGATGCACCCGGGTAAGCCTATCACTTCGAGACGAAGTTTGGGGGGGTAGGGCGGGGGTTGCCAAACCCCCTGTGCAGAGCACCATGTGCATGATGTTGTTTTTCCGCTGTCCGAGGTGAGGTTGAAAGGCTCACGGTCCCTGCCCTTCGTGACTGGCTGAAGGGCCAGGGCATAGCAAACACTGGGAAGAAGCAAGACCTCCTGGACCGGATTCGCGCGTGCGTCTGACACTGCTAGCAACTTGCTCGGCATAGAACTAGCTCCGTGGCGAGCTTTATGAGAGCCCTCCAAAAGCACATCGAACAAGAGGCTGCCGGGCATGCGTTTGCGTTAAGGGTTTAGAGTCCAGTTTGATTGGCTTTGCAGCTCAGCCATCCGCAATTCAGCACAGCACTTCTCTCTTAAAGCTTGGAAGTCCGTGGGCGACGGGCGCATGTGGGGAAGCTCCCAGCTTGTGTGAAACACATGGGCTGCACCTGTACAGCGGGAGACGCGTCCAGCCGGTAGGATTTATGCGGAAGGGCAGGTCGCTTCCGTTGCGGGTTCTTGATGTTTTAGCATCTTGGGACTAAAGATGAAACCCGAACTCGAGACCCGAGTCCCCGAAAGCCAGCGTATCGGCCGCTTTAGGCTTCGATGCCTTTACATCTCCAGAAGTTCCTGTAATCCTGAACCGCCGGAAACCCTCCAAGAAACCCCTTACTTAGCCAGAAGCTCCTGCTCTTCCGGCGCTTGGCAGCTGAGTGACTGTCAGCGGAGCCACCGACATCAGGGCTTTGGGGTTTTGGGGATTTCGGGCTTAGGGTTTAGGGGTTGTTGGGATTTCGGGTTTAGGGGTGTTCCGTTCGCTTGTTGAGGGGCTCTGCTTGCGCTTGGACGAGTTTGCAGCTCGGCTGGTGTCGGGGAAAAGCAAGCACCGCCAACGTGCATGAACTGTAAGAAGTCCGAAGCACAATCAGAAGTTTTTGGGATTTTGGATGCGGGTTTCAGGACGTCCTGCAGGTCACCGCATTCGATCGAGAGTTCACCATGGGTTCCTGTCGGGCCCAGGGTTTAGGGTTTAGAATTCAGGGTTTTCGTGCCTCCCCTCTGCAGCTGTCTAGAACGTTTAACCACAGCCCCAACACCCCCCAGACCTGCCCCGAATAGCTGTGCAAAGTAGTCCAAAACCAACAGAAGCTTCGAGACTTGCGACTGAGGTGTGTTCTGGGCTCAGTGTCGGCGGGACGTGTCTCCTCAGGCCAGACAGATTGGAACATGTTCAAAAGCAAAGTTTATACAGCTTCCTTTGCTAAATCAAGGAGTGTATTCGAGGTTGCGAGTTGGGGGGATTAGTTCAGATACTTGCCTCGCAGTGAAAGCTCGCTTGAGGGCAGAAGTATACCCATCATCCGTATGACTTTGGGCCTCCCCTTGTTCCAGCTACCTGCAGGTCGGGGCGGCCTATGGCTAACCCTGCATGACCTGGACTTCGGGCTGCTGGATCCGCCCTGAGCGACCGCGAGGAGCTGGTCGAAATCCTGGTCTGCAGCTCCAGGCATAGATCTGGTCAGATTCTTTCCTGTGAGGAGGGTTCCTAATATTCATAGGTGCGGTCAAGGGAGCCCAGTAACGGACCATCATTTACGGAATGCCCCTGTGAAGTCCTTAAGGCCCAAACCTACAGAACTCCTAAATCCTGCATCTGCCCAATCTCTCTGCTGGCAGGCCATGTTCCTTTGAGCTCCTTCCTGGGGACCCCTTATGGCGGGGAGTTGTCTTCACCTTCTGCTAGCAGACCACGCCGGAAGAAACATGGATCTTGCTGAAACTCTTTGGTTGTGATGTCTTTTTGTTTTGTGCAGCAGCAAGAGGGTTTCGGGTGTCGGGTTTGTGGGTAGCTGATTGCCAAGGACACTACGCTCCCAGTCATCGGGCCCTCTTGGCGTCCTCTGTGGTTGTCCGCTTCCTGCGGCCGGCCTCCGCTCCCTCGCCCATCTGGCACCGGGCACGGCGCCGCGTCCGGCTCCGCTTGGGTTTTGCGAAGTCGAAGTTCCATTTCTCTTGAGCCCGATGGAAAGTCGAACTCTGGCTGTGCCATCCATTTCTCATTCGCACCTGGATGGGTCTTCTGCCTGAGATGCCTGGCTGGCTGGGTCTGCAAAGAGCCGGAGGCTAGGGGGCGAGGGCATGCGACAAGGGCAATTTAGGTAGAGCGTGAGCAGCTGTTTCGGGAGCCCAAGCTCGGCCACGAACGGGCATCAAGCAGAAGGTTCTTGCGGCTCCCCCAGCCTGGAGGTAGGACCCGGCTTGCACCACTCGTGGAACTTTGGTCAACATCTCGCGCGGTTGAATGGAACAAGTTGTTTCAGTTGCCTGGATGCTGAATTTGTGACTATGGTCGAAGTCGAAGTGCTGTCGTAGAACCGCGATGGAGCCATTTCCACAGCCTGTGTGGCCACTGCAAAGTCGGGATGGCCGCACAGCTCTCGATCAAGACGAGGGCTCGACCCAAGCAGCAGCGACGTGTCAACCGTTTGAACACGGGCTGCTGTACCTTAGCTCGGCGCGCGCGGAGGCGGCTGCCTGGGATCTTGTCACGAAACTGGCACCGGCTGATGTGGGGCTGTCGTCCCCGGTGAAGCTCAGACCGAGAGCCTTTCGAAGGAAGTCGGGAAAGTTTGCAAGGGCTCCATTTACAGCAACACCCAATGTCATGTAGCTATTCTTTTCTCGGAGCTGCCAGACTGCTTGGCACTCGTTGAGGCGAACAATGCGGTTCACGCTGCTCTGACAGACTTCGTCTGTGCCATCCTCTGGGAAGGCTTTCGGAGCATGTCCGAATTCAGGGGTCATGAACATGTCTTTGAGGATGGAGAGCTGATCAATCAGCACCCATTCTGCTGGCGACCTTGCTGCGAAGCAGCACATAGGTCATGGGTATTCCGTTGGTATCCCAGCCCTTCATAAGTTCATAAGCTTCTGCCTTTAGCACCGTCGCAGGTCGCCTTTGAAGTTCGAATGCCCCAAAAGCGACGTCTTGCTCTGGTTGTTTCCTTGGTTTCTTGAACCCTCATGTCCCTCGCATGTCGACCCAAGCTCACTCTTGGGCCGGTGGAGCGCAGCAAGCGAAGCGGCGGAGCTGAGATTTTGGGCAAAGCCCCCGAGGTGCAGCCGAAGCCGCAGTCGACAACCGGCCTGGCCTCGGATGACGAGTCGTAGCAGGAGGAGCCTTGTGCCAGCACCGGCAAGCCGGAAACCCTGCAAAGCTTGGTTCAGTGCGCGAATGGCCACCGGCAGCTCTTGTCAAGGTGGAGTGGAAGGGCTGTGCCCGGGCTGCGACACACTCTGAGTGCCGCCTCCCTCAGTGGGCTGGACCTTCTCTTCGTGGCCACTGCTGGTACACTTCCTAAAATCTACAAGTCCTTGCTGCACCCACACCCCTGGCCCCAAACTCAACACATCCATCCTGAAACAAAAGCCTGCAAACCACCAAAGCCGTAAGGAGACCTACAGGCCGCATTTCCTAGGCTCCTTGAGCCCTGCGGGCTCCGGAGGGTTTCGGGGTTACGAGTTGCACTTCAGAGATTTAGGGGGAAAGATTCGAAGACGAGTTTAGAAGAGCTTTTTAGCCGATCTTTGCAGATGTGCTTCCCTCCCCAAGTTTGCGATCCGGCAAAGTGCGTGCATTTTGTGTTTCCGAGGGTTTTTAACCCGTCTCAGGGATCAACTTTAAGAGTGGGGGTCGGCAACCGCAGTGAGAGGCACCAGCAAAGCTACAAAGACCGTGTGCTGGGGAGTGCAGCTGGGCAGATGTGTTCTGCCCAACAAGGTGACGAGTAGACATCAAGCTTGTGACGGCTCGCTGGCGATTGCGCATCGCAGCCCGTGCCGATCCCAACTAGAAAGGATGGGACCTTCTTTTGTAGCTGGATAGCCAGTTGGCGATCTTGCCGAGGACTTGCTTGAAGACTCTCGTGTGTGTTGCACTTCCCGATGGCCAGCCATGAGCTGCGGGTCTGTATTGCGCGAGTGGTCCGGCCATTCACTATGCTGCTGTCGACCAGCAATGTGAGAGACCATTAAGAGCATGTGGCTGAGCCGCGTGAGCGACTTGCATGCAAGTGTGCGTTTGTGTGCATGTCACCTTTTTCACCAACCAGGCAAACGTGCTGTGCTTGCAACTGAACGAAGGTCAACAATTTAAAGACGGTACTGGGACGCATCCGCATGCAGGATGATTTTGCAGCTGCCGTCCATCAATATGAAGCATGGATTCAAGTAGTGTGTGTGCTCAGACGGGGAGGAGTTGAGGCCGACTAATTGGTGACATTGGTTTAGCGGGCACCGCTGGACATGCTTGGCAAGCTGCGCATCCCGCAAACCTTCAAACCTTGTATATTATATAACTCAACCAAGCCCGGCTTGGAGAAATCGAGTATTTGTCGAAGGCACATCTTGCATGGGACGCCAAAAAAGGACACGCTGACGCAGCCAAGGTTTCAGTAGCCGTCTGGCAGGAGAAACACGGAAGGGGCACTGCAATCGCATGCTTTATGGCGCTGGCAGTTTAACGATGTTTGCGCAGCATGGATGTGCCTTGGCAAGCGAGTGCAGATGCCGGCTCAGGGGCAAAGGAAGCCAGCTGTCACCACGAACTGGGCTCTTGGCCTGCCAGCACAGGCTTTCTCTCTCTTTGCAAGCGGATCCTTCCACACATCGGAACGGGAGCAGAATGCTTACATCCCAAGGCGTTTGAGCTTCGGCACGGAAGGGGGGCATTTTGAAGCAGCAGCGGTGCGGCGCAGTCGCATGTAATCGTCGGGCCCTGGACAGAGAATGCCGTATGCTTCTATGTTTTATGAGTCCGGGCATTGGGAATGATCTGCGCCAGTTAATGAGTGATCTGGCCTGATTCCCGGTGCCAAACGCTCTGCGACCCTCCCTTCCGCAGTTGCGGAGACATGCGCTGCTCAAGCACGGCAGAGGGCCTGCCTGAGCAGACCTCTGCCAAGGTCGTCTGATGTCCCAATCAGAATCTGCGGAAGCTGTGCTATCCCATCTCTCAAGCGTAGGAAATTCTTTGGACACTCCGTGAAGTCGGCTCCAAGCAGTTGCGTTTGTGGTAGGAGGGCAGTCTTGGTCGGTGTGCTCCTTGAGCTCTCTGCCGGAGAACGCATGATTCGGTGGCATGTGCATTGGCACCTTCACGAGGTCTGCTCGACGCCACGATGGATCTGTCGTTGAAGTGCCTTGCCGTGCACACGCACATGCCAGCTCCCTGACAAGCTGCGCTGCCGCATGCAGCATTTGGCGGCTAGCAGGTTGACAGGATGCATCTCGCTGCGGATTGTGGGGGCGGCTGAGGATGGTGTGTCTCTGTCAACAAGCAGCTTGCACATGCTTGCGGCTCAGCAGAGCTTCAGCTTCTCCAGTCCAGCATTCATCGGAAGGCTCTACCGCCTCCCCAGCCCTTGCCGTGGCTCTTAAGGATTGGTGTTTCAAATGCACAGGGCCTTGTAGGCCTTGTAGCTCTCGAGCGTGGCTCGTTCCTGGTTGTGGTGGTTCGGATGTCGCTTTGCCCAAGCATTGGCAGGTCCCCTTGAACAGGTCAGTAGGCCAAGTCGGCATGTGCAGTGGGCTCGGCTCTTTCACTTCCGGCCTCCGCGGCCATTTCACGGAAGATGGACTGCTGTTGACGTTGCCCTCGTCTGGGCGCCTGACCCGCCGAAGCATGCCGAAGCACTCGAGCTGTTCGCAGACGACCATGTTCGCAAAGGCTGAACGGCAGTGCGTGACATCGCCCGCCAGGGTCGCCGGACGTCATGGCAATGTAGCAGTGGCAGTGCTAGCCATAGTGATAGAGCAGGTGCATGAGCAGCTGCTTGCTCGTCTGCCCTTCCAAGCTCCCGGTCCTTCGCGAGTCTCACGACCATCGCGGAAGCTTTCTTGTATTGGGTGGTGAGACTCAGCTTGGGGGAAGTTTCCAGGACAGCCACAGGGCGAGCCACAGGGCGAGCCACAGGGCGAGCCACCTTCTGTGGGGCACTCATTCCAAGCGTGGCTGACACGTGCAATTGCAACGTTGGGCAGTTGGTGCTCCTTCAGTCGCTTCTCGTGGAGCTGGGAGGGTCTTGCTTCCACCCGTTCTGCCTGTTCTGCAGGTTCTGCAGTTGGAGGCGGCGCGGCACTGCGTGCGACACCTGCGCGGCAGGCCGCGCAGCGGGCCGCATCAGATCGGCTCGGCCTGGTTGCGCCAAATCGTGCAGCTGCACCTGCAGAGTTCGTGCGACAGCATTGGCAGCGTTGCCACTAAGACCATTGGGACCGTGGAGGTTGAGACCCATTCTGCGTTGCTTGCCACCTGCCGTGAAGCAAGCGCTGACAGCATGGCAGCCCAAACCGGTTCAAATCTTCCCACCAAGGCGGCTCCTTTTGCGGAGACGATCTGCCAGACTCTGTTCCGGTGCATGGCCATGAGTCTCCAAACAATCAGCACGGCGCGATGACAGCCGAGCCGACAGTCGTGCAATGGGCCTTCTTAGACACTGCCATGGTGAGTACAGAGGTTGTGTTTCGACGTGGTCTTGCTTGGCTGGCCCGGACATCTGGCATCTAGCTGTGAGTGTTGAGACGTCGGTGGCTCGCGCTGTTGTTCTCTGAGGTAGTGACTGTGGAAGCGCCTGTGGCTCCCTGTTCAGTGCGCTGCAATCGCATGCTTCATGCTGGTGATTGCTGGTGCTGACGGCTTGACGATGCTTGCATGCGAGTGATGGATTCTCCCCAGGACGCAAGCTAACCGTCAGCAGTAGTTGGGCTTTTTGGCTTGCCAGCAGGGTCGCCCTGTGCCAACATTCGTCTCCGCTTCTGGGTTGGTTGGGGTGGTTGGCCTTGAGGCTCAGGTTAAATGGCTAGCAGGACCCTCAACAAATGAAAATCCATTTTCACCTCTTCGCCAGCGCATCCTGACGTTGGGCAATTTGTCTAGCCATTTGTCCGCCGGAGTTCCGGAGTATGAATCGATGGAACGGGAGCAGAATGCTTACATCCCAAGGCGTTTGAGCTTCGGCACGGCATGGGGGCATTTTGAAGCAGCAGCGGTGCGGCGCCGTCGCATGTAATCGTCGGGCCCTGGACAGAGAATGCCGTATGCTTCTATGTTTTATGAGTCCGGGCATTGGGAATGATCTGCGCCAGTTAATGAGTGATCTGGCCTGATTCCCGGTGCCAAACGCTCTGCGACCCTCCCTTCCGCAGTTGCGGAGACATGCGCTGCTCAAGCACGGCAGAGGGCCTGCCTGAGCAGACCTCTGCCAAGGTCGTCTGATGTCCCAATCAGAATCTGCGGAAGCTGTGCTATCCCATCTCTCAAGCGTAGGAAATTCTTTGGACACTCCGTGAAGTCGGCTCCAAGCAGTTGCGTTTGTGGTAGGAGGGCAGTCTTGGTCGGTGTGCTCCTTGAGCTCTCTGCCGGAGAACGCATGATTCGGTGGCATGTGCATTGGCACCTTCACGAGGTCTGCTCGACGCCACGATGGATCTGTCGTTGAAGTGCCTTGCCGTGCACACGCACATGCCAGCTCCCTGACAAGCTGCGCTGCCGCATGCAGCATTTGGCGGCTAGCAGGTTGACAGGATGCATCTCGCTGCGGATTGTGGGGGCGGCTGAGGATGGTGTGTCTCTGTCAACAAGCAGCTTGCACATGCTTGCGGCTCAGCAGAGCTTCAGCTTTTCAAGCCCAGCATTCATCGGAAGGCTCTACCGCCTCCCCAGCCCTTGCCGTGGCTCTTAAGGATTGGTGTTTCAAATGCACAGGGCCTTGTAGGCCTTGTAGCTCTCGAGCGTGGCTCGTTCCTGGTTGTGGTGGTTCGGATGTCGCTTTGCCCAAGCATTGGCAGGTCCCCTTGAACAGGTCAGTAGGCCAAGTCGGCATGTGCAGTGGGCTCGGCTCTTTCACTTCCGGCCTCCGCGGCCATTTCACGGAAGATGGACTGCTGTTGACGTTGCCCTCGTCTGGGCGCCTGACCCGCCGAAGCATGCCGAAGCACTCGAGCTGTTCGCAGACGACCATGTTCGCAAAGGCTGAACGGCAGTGCGTGACATCGCCCGCCAGGGTCGCCGGACGTCATGGCAATGTAGCAGTGGCAGTGCTAGCCATAGTGATAGAGCAGGTGCATGAGCAGCTGCTTGCTCGTCTGCCCTTCCAAGCTCCCGGTCCTTCGCGAGTCTCACGACCATCGCGGAAGCTTTCTTGTATTGGGTGGTGAGACTCAGCTTGGGGGAAGTTTCCAGGACAGCCACAGGGCGAGCCACAGGGCGAGCCACCTTCTGTGGGGCACTCATCCCAAGCGTGGCTGACACGTGCAATTGCAACGTTGGGCAGTTGGTGCTCCTTCAGTCGCTTCTCGTGGAGCTGGGAGGGTCTTGCTTCCACCCGTTCTGCCTGTTCTGCAGGTTCTGCAGTTGGAGGCGGCGCGGCACTGCGTGCGACACCTGCGCGGCAGGCCGCGCAGCGGGCCGCATCAGATCGGCTCGGCCTGGTTGCGCCAAATCGTGCAGCTGCACCTGCAGAGTTCGTGCGACAGCATTGGCAGCGTTGCCACTAAGACCATTGGGACCGTGGAGGTTGAGACCCATTCTGCGTTGCTTGCCACCTGCCGTGAAGCAAGCGCTGACAGCATGGCAGCCCAAACCGGTTCAAATCTTCCCACCAAGGCGGCTCCTTTTGCGGAGACGATCTGCCAGACTCTGTTCCGGTGCATGGCCATGAGTCTCCAAACAATCAGCACGGCGCGATGACAGCCGAGCCGACAGTCGTGCAATGGGCCTTCTTAGACACTGCCATGGTGAGTACAGAGGTTGTGTTTCGACGTGGTCTTGCTTGGCTGGCCCGGACATCTGGCATCTAGCTGTGAGTGTTGAGACGTCGGTGGCTCGCGCTGTTGTTCTCTGAGGTAGTGACTGTGGAAGCGCCTGTGGCTCCCTGTTCAGTGCGCTGCAATCGCATGCTTCATGCTGGTGATTGCTGGTGCTGACGGCTTGACGATGCTTGCATGCGAGTGATGGATTCTCCCCAGGACGCAAGCTAACCGTCAGCAGTAGTTGGGCTTTTTGGCTTGCCAGCAGGGTCGCCCTGTGCCAACATTCGTCTCCACTTCTGGGTTGGTTGGGGTGGTTGGCCTTGAGGCTCAGGTTAAATGGCTAGCAGGACCCTCAACAAATGAAAATCCATTTTCACCTCTTCGCCAGCGCGTCCTGACGTTGGGCAATTTGTCTAGCCATTTGTCCGCCGGAGTTCCGGAGTATGACGGCCCTCAGGGACGTCATGCATTGGCGGCTCCATTTTCTTGCTCCCCCTAATGCTAACATGTTGGGGATGCCAGCACAGGCTCCCTCAGTCTTCTGCAAACAGGTCCATGGAACAGAGGCAGAATGCCTACATCCCAAGGCGTCATGAGGACGTTTTGAAGCAGCTGCGTTGCAGTGCAGGTGCATGTAATCGTCGAGTCCGAGACAGAGCCTGCAGTATGCTTCTATGCAAAATGAGCCGGAGCATTGAGAATGATCTGCGCCAATCATTGAACGATCTGGTCGGATTCCCGGTGCCAAACGCTCTGCGACCTTCCCTTGCGCAGTTGCAGAGACGTGCACTGCTCAAGTACAGCAGAGGGCCTGCCTGAGCAGACTTCCGCCAAGGTCGCCTGTCCCACGCAAAATGTGCGGAGGATTTGCTGGCCTGTCTCTCAAGCGTGGGAAATTCTGTGGCCACTCAGTGAAGTTGGCTCGAAGCAGTTGCGTCTTTGGTAGGAGGGCATTCTTGGTCGGTGTCCTCCTGGAGCCGCCGTAGAACGCATGATTCGGTGGCATGTGCATTGGCACCTTCACGAGGTCCACTCGAAGCCACGATGGATCTGTCGTTGAAGTGCCCTGCCGTGCACTCGCACATGCCAGCTCCCTGACAAGCTGCGCTGCCTGCAGCCGCATGCAGCATTGGCGGCTAGCAGGTTGACAGGATGCATCTCGCTGCGGATTGTGGGGGCGGCTGAGGATGGTGTGTCTCTGTCAACAAGCAGCTTGCACATGCTTGCGGCTCAGCAGAGCTTCAGCTTCTCCAGTCCAGCATCCATCGGAAGGCTCTACCGCCTCCCCAGCCCTTGCCGTGGCTCTTAAGGATTGGTGCTTCAAATGCACATTGCCTTGTAGGCCTCGTAGCTCTCGAGCGTGGCTCGTTCCTGGTTGTGGTGGTTCGGATGTCGCTTTGCCAAGGCAATGGCAGGTGCCCTTGAGCAGGTCAGTAGGCCAAGTGGGCATCTGCAGTAGGTTCGGCTCCTTCACTTCCAGCCTCCGCGGCCATTTCACAGAAGATGGACTGCTCTTGACTGACTCGCCAAGATATGCCAAAACATTCGAGCCGATTGCCAGTGCACATAGAGAGGTGCAAGCTGCCGCTGAAGGTACTGGTTCCAGGGATCTTGGCCTCAACGTGGTCGATGGAGTCCGCTATCCTGGATCCATCTGTTTCAATGTCAAGCAATTTCATGCTAGTGGAGCATCCAGGGTTTCATTCTTGGATGCTCTGCCTCCTGTGCTTGCAAAGTGGCAGCCTTCGAAGAGACGGCCATGTTCGCAAGGGCTGAGCAAAACCAGAGTCACCGGACGTCATGGCAACCTAGCAGTGGCACTGATAGCCATGGTGATGGATCAGGTGCATGAGCAGGTGCTTACGCGTCTGCCCTTCCAAGCTCCCGGTCCTACACGAGTGTCACGAGTGTCACACCGCAGAGCATCCGCAAGCAGCCTGTCCTGCAGACGATGGCAGCACTTCCCGGGCACTGTAAGTAGCCATTGAACTTACAAGCAGAGCATCTTGTCCCGTCTCGTCAAAGAGCAGACTGCTGTTCGACTGGCCCTGGGCTTGTGCAGGATTCCGGATGCTTGGACGGCCTCAGACAGGAACACGGAATCTTTACTCGTACTCCCTACCCCTTACCCACCGCCCACTCTGAACGTCTCCTGGAGGTTGAAATGGCTTTGGAGGTTAAAATCGCTTCGGATTGGGATTAGGAGGGTTTATCTACCCTCAGCTTGGAAGGGTCTTCAGTGGGTGGCTGCTGGCAGTTGACAGAAAGGGGGTGACCCATTGAAGGCCTCTCAAGACCCCGCCCGATCAGAGGCCTTGCGCCTCCTGAAGTCTTCTAGTCTGGGGTGCCCCCGTAAGAGAGTCAGAGCCGCTTCAGACGCGGCGTGCGTGGTACCAACATGACCAGTGATACTCAGCTTTTGCCCTCAAAGGGCCCTGGCTCCCCAAACTTTGGAACTTTTTCACCTGCATTAGGGTTTTGGCTGTTTTCCGGGCCTGGGGTATGGGGGGGTTGACATTCGTGTGAGCCCGGCTCCACCGAACAGGCCATGTCTACCAAGTTCACCGCTTCAGATCCAGCGAAGGCAGGTGCGCAACTTGCCCTGGACTTGTGCAGGATGCGGGATGCTTGGACGGCCTCAGACAGGAACACGGAATGCGCCCTTTTACTCGTACCCCTTACCCCTTACCCCCTTACACACCACCCACTGTGACTGTCTCCTGGAGGTTGACATGGCTTTGGAGGTTGAAATCGCTTCGGATTAGGATTGGGAGGGTTCTTGTTTACCCTCAGTTTGGAAGGGTCTTGAACTCATCCTCCTGGATGCTGGCCCCCAGCATGCATGCTTTGCACTCTGTGCTTGCAAAGTACCAGCCTTCGAAGAGACGGCCATGTTAGCAGGAGCTAGGCAGCAGAGCGTGACATGGTGGCCCACTAGAGTCACCGGACGTCATGGCAACCTAGCAGTGGCACTGATAGCCATGGTGATGGATCAGGTGCATGAGCAGGTGCTTACGCGTCTGCCCTTCCAAGCTCCCGGTCCTACACGAGTGTCACGGGTGTCACACCGCAGAGCATCCGCAAGCAGCCTGTCCTGCAGACGATGGCAGCACTTCCCGGGCACTGTAAGTAGCCATTGAACTTACAAGCAGAGCATCTTGTCCCGTCTCGTCAAAGAGCAGACTGCTGTTCGACTGGCCCTGGACTTGTGCAGGATGCCGGATGCTTGGACGGCCTCAGACAGGAACACGGAGTGCGCCCTTTACTCGTACCCGTTACCCACCGCCCACCGCCCACTCTGACCGTCTCCGAGAGGAGGATTACTAGGATTAGGATGGTTTATCTACCTAGAGCTTGGGAGGGTCTTCAGTGGGTGGCTGCTGGCAGTTGACAGAAAGGGCGTGACCCATTGAAGGCCTCTCAAGACCCCGCCCGATCAGAGGCCTTGCGCCTCCTGAAGTCTTCTAGTCTGGGGTGCCCCCGTAAGAGAGTCAGAGCCGCTTCAGACGCGGCGTGCGTGGTGCCAACATGACCAGTGATACTCAGCTTTTGCCCTCAAAGGGCCCTGGCTCCCCAAACTTTGGAACTTTTTCACCTGCATTAGAGTTTTGGCTGTTTTCCGGGCCTGGGGTATGGGGGGATCATGAGGGCTTGAGGGCTCCTTAGGCGTTTCAAGGGCTGCCGTTTGAGATGCTGGACGAAAGCTGGCCCGCGTGATGGCCGCAGTGCGGCAGGGCGGCCTCGACCTCGCCCATTCCTGTGAGCCCGGCTCCACCGAACACACGAAGAGGCCATGTCTACCAAGCTCACCACAGATCCGGCGAAGGCAGGCGCGCATTCAAAAATCCCAAGTGAGAAGCTGCCGGCCCAAAGTGCTGCCCAAAGACTGGAGATTGGGGCGTTTGTTGAGTGCTGGTGTATTCCGCCATATTCTGCCTTGGACACTGGCGGCTCGGGGCGTGCACACGCACTGGCCAAATTGAAGCCAAGCTCAAGTGACAGCGCCCTCTGCGCAACAGCTTGACACGGTACGGCCTCTCTGTACTTCAGCAGGATGCTTTCACATCGCCTTCCAGAGGACACATCTCCGTTCCCCAGTGTGGGAGAGCCACCGCCATGCTCCATGATCTCCATGTGCCGAGATCTGTGGCCAGATGCCTCCGCAGCGCAAAAACTCAGCTTTCGATCAGAAGCTCCTGGAGCTCTCCTTCAGCCGCTGCCTGTTGTTTGCTTCGGATCCCGTTGCCTCTGCTGGCTCCTCTGGACCGTTCACGTAGTGGCAAAGGCTGAAGCAGATTCTACCTGGACTGAAAGAGCCGGCCGGTTGAGCCTCGGAAAAACATCGTCCCACGCAGACATGAGTGGCAAAAGTGTGCGAGTGGCATGAGGAATGAGGCCTGGCCTCAGCTTCAATGTGCGGCTGACGTAGCCTGGCTTTCTAGTGAGATTGAAGAGCTCGATTTCTGCTTTGGCATGAAGCAAGGTGTTGCAGCCATAGCCTTCACGTGAACAGGACAATCTCGCTGGTGACGCGCAACCAGCATGGAGCGGGTTCACATGTCCTTTGACCACTAGGAGAGACCGCAAGTCTTGAAAATGTGTTTGGGGTGAATGATGGAGCCGATGATGGAGGTCGACGCAGCGCCAGTCCGATGTGGGTCCAGCCCGAAGGCTCTGTGGGATGTGGGGTATTCGGGATTGTGCCAAGACCAAGAGCCCCTAGGCCCCTGGGCCTGCTGGGCTGCCGAGGCCCTAAGCTCCGAAGAGTCCAACCTCCTCCAGGGGGGCGTCGTTGCTGGCTTCCCTCGGGAAGGCCTTCAACCCGCAGCATTCCCACGCCACGATCACGAGGGGCGTACTGCTGGATCTGCAACCTTGGCAGTGTTGGGTCGTTGGGTCATCCTGCGGACGCTGCCAGCATGTGTGAGTGGGTGTGGG